TAGCCAAAAATGTTGTTATCGTTTATCGATGTAAGTGATATAGAGCGATGAATTACGTATTTGCGTTTTATTCATCGAATGACCCAAATATTGGTATTGGTAAGGCAATAATAAATAAATATTGGTATTGGTATTGCAATACTGGTTTTAAAATTGTATTGGTATTGGTATTGCCAATAGATTTTACAGGCAGTATTGATATTGGTATTGCCAATAATTTTTTTTAGTATTGTTAATAACCCTGTTATTAGGTAACCTAAAGCTTAAGACTCAGTGCTACTAACCTACTATTTAATTATTTATAAAATGGTGTGTATCAGTGTATCCCTAGAACCATATTAATACTATTATTAAACTAATGAAATAAATAGATTTTTACACTAGGGACATTTCTTTAATTTATTAATTTGCTTAATATAATTCCAAACAATCAATCTTCGTTTTTTTTTCAGACTACCCTAGTTGGTATCCATCCCTGTTTATCTTCCACTAATCTTCCTTTATTTAATAATAATAATAAATTATTAACCTCATTTGAAGAAAGTGAATCTTAGTGAATTCAAGGAAAATGGATGAAGTTAATATTAAAAAACACAAAAAGACTTTGAAAATTTTGTGTCAAACTTCTCTGAGGATGCAGTAACTAAGTGTTACAGAAATGGCTTCATTGTCCATGTGTATTTCAGCAATGGAAAGAACTTAGGTAATGCTACAGAGACACTGGTTAAATGTTTCCAAGAATCAGACAGTAATTATGTGCCAAAAAAAATGCTGCAAAGACCAGTATACATGATCTAGTGGATAAAATTAAGCGCTTAAAGAAAAATATTGATCAAAGCTGGCATTTTATATGTGGCAGTGTATGCCCCAAATAGTGCCCCAACCCACTATTTGACCCGTTACGTAAACCATGTTTGGCGCCCAACACAAGGTCGCGCGGTGTGTAGTAGCACTGGCGCTGTGCGTAACAGGTATCCCTTTCCCCCTCCCCCCCCCCCCCCAACCCGGACGGTCGCTATACGGCCGGCTTCTCTCGCGCATAGGGAGGGAATAATAAAATACCGCGATGTGCGCTTTAGTTAGAAAATCAATAATTTATTTCTCGGGAACCCTAGCGTTTTAAGTTATAAATTATATCTAGTTAGAAAGGGGATTTTATTCATTATACATATTTACAAGTCTCCATCGTTGGAGGATATTTGAACATTTAGTCATTAAAGGAGTTTTCGCCTTCATCTATAGTGGTCCTAGCCCCTTCTAGTTAAAATATCTCAAAAACCATTTAACTCATAAAAATATAAAATAGTATCTTAGATAGCTGAGACAAAACTGCACAGATCACATAGAAATATGAAATAGCATCTTAGAGAGCTGAGACAAAACTGCACAGATCACATACAAGTCGTTAGGGCTTTGGTCAGGGATTTTAATTATTACTCGGGATTAGTCCCCAGAGTTAGGCATTTTATCCCAGGAAATTGGCCAGAAGGCAAAACGTAGACCGACTTGGTTTAGGTCTGACGGAGGGGCTCTCTCATATGTCCGCGCACGGCTTTATAAAGCGGAGCACGCTAAGTAGGGGTCATTTTGAGATTGGTCAGCATACCTGCAGTGTGCCTTTGTTCAGTGCGGCCCATTGGAACGCTCTGTAAGTAGAGGCAAATACGCCATTTTATTTCTTTGTGGTTAGTAGGAACTTGTTGAGTGTTAGCATTGGAAGATTTCTGTTCAGACTTATAACCAGGATATAGTGTAGAATAACCTACAGCGGGTAGACTTATGCTCAGGCTATTTTAAAGGTTAACATACAACCTTTAAATAAATTATTTAATAGGATTAATGAATTAGATACCAGTGACCAGGGTTTGTGAGCGTAACAACTAACTGCATATCGTTCTGGGTACACATACTGCAATGCGCTTATAATATAAGCTATTGGTACAACAGTATACAACCTGCGAGTGTCCGTCAAATATTTGTAATAGGCTAACTTTCCTGCCGTGTGCTAAATTCTCACATAGGAAATAGTGCATGTGTTAGGATCATATTCCATATAATGATTCATTCTGCAATCTGCTGTCGTCTTAACAAGACACAGCGATGGACAGATCCCAGTATCAAGCCAACGGTGGTCATACTTTATACCACTGTATTTACTGTCCTATGTGTGCTTCTTACATAGATACCATACCTGGATGGCATACTATAATAACTTCAAGATCTTTAAAGTTTATGTTAGCCCTCACATCGCACTCTGGTTCTGTGTGTAGCATTAACACTGTGCACGTGTTTCAAATTAAACACTGCACGTGGTTTCTTTTATAGTTAAAACATTCGTAGTACAAGATAATTATATTTGCCATGTGTATGAAACAATACTACGTACGTATCATTTATCATGCTTTCTAATTAAGTATATGTTGTCGCCACGTGTAATTACGTGGTTATGTATCATGTTTATTTTTAGCTATGTTAGTCAGGACATTGTTAAATGTTAACCTGTACTATTTGTTTATTTTCAGATATTGTCCTTTTTCTTTTTCTTCATAGTAGAGCATTAATAAAGCTATAGTCCTCGAGACCTACATTTCTTCATTTGTTTATTAGTAGCTGTCAGTGGCAGCCTTGGTACACCCAAGCACCTACGTCACTCACTTTACCAATCATCCACCACACACTACTACATATAGAAGATTTGCTACTTCGGCCTGTTCGTGTACCTATACCGAAGAAGAGGCAATTGATACCTGACATCACACCAAGTGGCAGCAACGTTGAAGAGACGGTAATAAATTCACCAACTCATTAATAATCATGTTTTTTTGCCTGTTCACTATGTTTTTTCATCTCTTTTGTCCTCAGCCTAGTCTATAGAGTCTAATACACATTTTAAAATCACTAAAACTTCCTAATTTATAAAATAACTTCAAATAATATTTTGGCTAGCTGTGTAACCAGTGCCAGTAGTGATGTGGGCTCCCGTCATGGCTGCACTGTTCCCCCTCCACCACTCTGTCGACGCTGTGTAAACGACAATGTCCCTGCCATATATCTTATATGTATAAATAAATAAATGTTCACTGCAAAATTGTTGTTTTCATTTATGCTATGCCTCAGAGTTTAAATTAAATTACGAAAGTGAGGGTAAATTTAAAATGATTACTAGGTCTCAAAATAGTTAAAATGAGCATATTTCAATAAACAGTTTCCGACGGAGGCCCTTGGATCCCTCTTTAGCTGGAGGGTATAGGGCCTACCCCCAAACCCTCCTTGGGTGCACAAGTCCCATTTTTTTCCATTTCATGATTTGGACACCCTAGACTAATAGTTTTTCTACAATTTATAATATTTAACAAAAATGTTAAATAACTATAAGAACAAAGTAATTGTAATATTATTGTTATCCCATAATTGGAATACTAAGTCTTAGTTAAGTCACATATTCTAAGATTTAAAAAAAAAAATTATATTTCAATATTTCGACAATGTCTGTAAACCTTCATGATTTTGACAGCTTAGTGGCAAGCTTTGCTGATGATGCAGCCACTGAGGTGTATAAGAATGGCTATGCCTTCTACATTTATACCAGCAGTGCCAACAAGAAGGAGGGTGTCGAGTATGAGCGTTCATTAGTAATTGTTGCGACTCAATATTATGTTCATTAGTTGTTGAACGCTTTTCCCGCGCTTGACTATTATTAGTTAGTGAACGCTCTTCCCGCCATTGTCTCTATGATGTATTTTTATGCTTATTCGTGACGTATTGTTTATGCAGTATTGTGACGTATGTTTTAGTCGCTGCAGTCTTGAGTGGAACTTTGGAGTGATAGGATGTGTATTATTTAGGTCTGATAGCGACCTGCGCTATATTCACATGTTATGTGTATTATTAAGTATTATATTTACTTATACATTAAAGTTATAGTTATTATGAAAAAGAGTTGAGTTTGTTCGATGATAGTGAGAATAGTACGACGCTTCAACATGTGAAAAGAACTTGACGAATGTAATCAATCCAAGAAGACTGTATAGGAGTTGACAGAGGGCATTAAAGCTGCTGTGTCTGCACTTGATGAGGTATTCAAAGAAAGATCTAAACTGTGTGTCCAACAAAAGTGGAATACGTATCAGTTTGTTTAACTTGACAAAAAAGAAACTGCATGAAAATCCAGGACCTTTTTTTTTCAGCCTGTGCAAATCCCATCTACATGCATAGGAGCCAAAATGATCAATAAATTGATCGTGGGCCCTTAAGATATAGAAGAAGAAGAAGAAGTGCCAGGTACCAAGAAGAAAAAGATGGTGCCTAACAGCTCTTTTGGTTTTTCAACTCTTGGAAATAATGTAATACTAAACATAATACTGTATGCATAGATAGAAATTGTATAAAAACATTTTTTCCCTCAGCTTCTAGAATGTCTGCCAAGATAAAAATTTCTGATTTTAATAATTTAGTGGCAAGCTTTACTCCAAGATTCAAGATGAAGCCACAAAGGAGTATAGGAATGGGAATGCTGTCCTTCTTTATAGCAGCAGTCCCAAAAAGAAGGGAGGTATGAAAGCTAGTGTCCATGCTTGACAAGTGCTTTCAGCAATAGAAGCTGTCTATCTAACAAGTATGCAATACATTCTAGTCTATTAAAATTGGAAGACAGGCTTTATAAGTTGAAAAATCATTTAGCACAAAACTGGATTATTCAGAATTTTTTGCTGCAGCCCCTGAAAGCACCAGTTACTAAGAAGAAGCAGTTAATCTCAAGCACTTTTGATATAACTCTTAGCACTCAAGATGAAAGTTTTCATTCACAGATAGCTCATCAGCAGTTTGATAATCTACCACAAACACCAGTGAAACAACTCAAAACTGACTGTGAGAAGTGTTCTAAGAGAAGAAAATTTTACATGAAGTTCATATCAGAAATGAAGGTCAAACTCAGATCATCACAAAAAAATTTAAGAGAAATGTCAAAAAACTATAATGTCAAAGTTGTGAATCAAAATATGAAAAGAAAGCATGTAGCCATAGACAAGTTAAGAAAGGAAAGAAAAGCTTTAAAAATGGAAAATTTGAACCTAAAACTAGAAGTAAATATGTTAAAATTCCTAACTGGAAAGGAGAATGTTGCTGTTCCAAAAAAGAAGAAACATAAAGCACCAAACGATTTTGCTCAAATAAGTTTAGGAATTGAAACTTTAACAAAGAAAATTCAAATGAAAGAAAAAATGATCCAAGAACTTGAATCAGATGTTGGAAAGTTAAAGTGTGAACTGACAAAATTACAGGAGCAAATTTCTGTTAAAAAGAAAACACCTGTAGAACCTGAAGTGCTATTTCAGGCCAAAAGGTATGAGTCAATGATGAGAATTTTTTTTTTTTTATTATGTGTATTGTAACTTACAATTTCTTATTATATTAACAATTGTATACCCTTCTTTATAAGCATTATATAACTTAAATCTGAGAGACTTTTTTCATATTTTAAAAATCACATTAGCAAAAAGAGAAAACATATCCGCACCCCTGAAGATATAGTTTTACAATCTCAAGAGAAGGAAGAGACCTTAGAGCATGGTAAAGCACATTTTAAAGATAATTAAGTTATGCCTATAATACTTAAAGAGTCAGTTTATAACATTAAATCCATATTATGTTAAAATTAAAGCTCAAGTTAATTTCTTTTTTAAATTGGCCATTAATGAAATAATAAGAAACAAGATATTTTATGTAAGAAAAAGTATATTACGGGTAATGAATCCAATGACACTAAATTTTTAAATAAGTTCAATTTTCTGTGTTACAGAAGGATGGTGGGAGGTAGAGAAATTTACAGACATCCCAGCCATTGTTGCCATTGAAATTGAAGAGCAGACTTACATTACAGTCCTAGACAATGGGGCTTTAGAACTTAGGAATCGCAAGGACTCCGGTGAGCATAATCTTTAACAAAAATCCAGCTTTAATATGCATGCATATGATTTCTTGTAATTGTGGCATTGGAGGCCACACTGTAATGAACTTTGGGTTAGGGTATCAAAACATGGCATGTATGGCTTCTCCCCAATTGCTTAGAATAACTTAATTATTGGGAACCACTATGTGTGCTTATTTGTTATGGCCATAATAGCTGCTTTATTAACAAATTTAATAATTGTGGTTTCAGTTCCCTTTTTTTTCCACAGGAGAGGGACCCACCAACCCTGCTGATATTTTTACAACCATTAGGATAGATGCATCAAAAGTTGCCTTCAAGTCTGTGAATGGCAAACATTGGAGTTTGTAAAGTGATGGTAGAGTTGTTAGTATAGCTGAGACTGTTGGGACCAGGGAACAGTTTGAACCTGTTTTTTAGGAAGTTAGTCAGAAATACTGTTTTGTTGTATTATAAATAAATGTAGATTATCAGTGTTTTAATTAGATCTAACTTTATTTAATTTTAATGGCTGATTTATTGCTATTACAATATAGTGGTGGCAGGTAACTAAAGCTAAGCTTTTATCATTATGGTTTTAGATTTCATTAAAATAAAGACACCTTTTAATTTGGCATATATTCTTCTTTTCAGGTTTAAAAAAATATAATTATGGGTTTAAGTTAAAAAGAAATAATTAATATTTCCACTTTGTGTGGCTAATAACAAAATGTTAACTGAACAATTGTTTTTTATTTCAAGGACAGCTGATAACCAGTAGGCTACCTAAACTTCATTATATTCTTCTTCAAATAATTGAAATAAATGTATAATATATTTAAAAGAGTTCAATAATTTCTATTTTCACTATTTTCTAAATAATAAAATCTTAACTCAGCTATTATTTTTCGTTTCAAGTGCTGCAGATAAACCATATAAGATATTCTAATACCATACAAAGCTATTTATTTTTTCGACATTTTTCTAGTGAAAACTGCATTATAAGATTCTTCTTGACTTAATAGTGGTAAATTTATTTTTAAAAATGTGATATATAATATTACAATTTATCTGTATTTTCAGGGCAGGGTGGCATTAATTGGACATAACAACTGTTTCTTGTCTTACAATGAAGATGGTGACATTGTTTGTGAGAGTTATACAGCTGATCCAAAAATGTGGTTCAAACTGAGAACAAAGATGCAGTGTAAGGAGACACAAATTGAAGAAAAAAATTTCCAACACGTCCAGAAATAAATTAGTAAGTGAGTTTCCGTTGTTTATTTCTTAGATACTGTGTAGCCCTTTATTTTTTAAGTGTGGTATTTAAGAATTTAACCATTTACATTATGGACAAATCATTAATTACTGTGTTTTTACTTGTGCATGACTCACAAAGAACATGACACTTAGACTATTTATGTTCCGGTATTAGAATGTCACCTTCTGTGAGCAACTTCTGGAAGGAAGTTGTTTTCCATCATACACTTTTATTTTTATTTGAGGACATGCACCCTGAGCATTAAATTGATAGGCTGCATTTTTTTTGCCAACTGTATGTTTTTTGTTATTTTTTCTAGGAAGGGGCTGCACTAAATCATAGCTACATGACTGTGGCGCTACTGACCATGTAGGGCTTTGCCTTGCCTCACCACTTCCTTCAACTTAGACCTAACTGATGCTTTTCTTTTTTATGCTGGGATTCTCAGCTGCCGTAGATATTTTTCCACATCGTCCTTCCATCTAAACCTAGGTGCTTTGAGCCATCTTCCTCTGGGGTTCTTTTGGTGCACCATCTTCACCCTTTGTTATTTGATATTCTTTCTAAGTGTCCTGCCCACCGTAGCCTGTCCTTTTTTATTTCTGCTAGTAGCGTGGGATCCCATTGTAGTCTATAAAGATCCTGGTTGGAGCATATTCTCCATCCATAGTCATCCTTTGTTGGTCCGTATATTTTTCGAAGAACTTGTGTTTCATAAATTTTTCTGTTATTCACTATAAAATTCCTGGTTGGTTCGTATTCACCACCTATATTGATCCTTTGTTGATGTCATTATACATAATTAACCTAATAAATGGCAACACTAACGGTTTGTTAATGTGATGTGATCATTACTAGTATCCATTGGCATAATTTAAGTCATTTAATATTTTAATTGCTGTTATAATTTTGACAAAGCGATATTTTTATGCATGCAGTCAACAAAGGAGAAGTCACTTGTCTAAAATAGATTCTCCCAAGCCCCCTGGTAGGATTCATTCTATCTTAAACTGTCATGAACAGTAGCGAAGTGCCGATATGACATATAATAAAATTGAGTCTCTCGCAACATATTTATATCAATTTCTAACAATTTAAAGATTGGAAAATAGATTATAAATTTTAAATGGAGCATGCCATACATGTACGTGTATGTAAATTGAATTTGAAAATCTGAATGGATTCAAAATAAATCTATTTTTTGCAATTTTTTTCTTAACATATTTTTTTTTTTCAATAATCTAGTTGTATTCAGTTTGTCAGATTAAAAAATGTTAAATCTTGTATTTAATTTGCATACTACTTTTCTTAAAATATTATTTTCTTTTTATGTCCATAGTTCTGAATATTTTCAATCAAGTTTGCATGCAAGCGTGCAATATGTGACAGCCCTGGATTTAGCTGCAGTGGAACCCAACCTCTTTTACTTCAAAGAAATACAGTTGAAAAGATATTTAAAGACAGACTTTTTTTTAAGAGCAAATTAAATGGATTATATCATGGTATTGAAGTGATTTCAGTTGTACATTAAATGCAAAAAAAATTGATGTACCTAAAGAATCCAACTTGTTAAAAAATTCATTAAATCCCATTAAATATATTTACAATTTTGTCTGTAAATTGAGCCATTAAAAAAAAAATTCAAACTACCGGTACAGATTATTGTCATCAAAGAATGAAGACCTGATTATTATTGTTCCATTAGTTGTTTTTTCTAAAGTTTAAATTGATATTTATAATGTTAATTATATTATATTATTAAACAATTATGATTAATGGGACCAAAAATGATTGTGTAAATAATATATATATATATATGTTAAGCTTTAATTATGATTACACAATTACATAATTAAAGCTTAAACTTAAAATATATTGATTTATTTAGACAATTTTTATGTGTCTCACCAAGCTTTATCACATTCCAACCCTCTTATAATTAGTTACACAATATTGTTGTGGCTTAGAAGTGTTATTGCTTTTCTTGTGACGGATTTAAATTTAATTCTGGAATATCTAAAAATAAAGTGTCAATTTTTTTGTACATACTGGTATAGATTTCTTGCATAAGTGGTGTAAGTGTAAGCCTGCTTTACTTTTTAAAAATAATATTCATGTATTGGTATTTTACTCCTTCTGTAATTTGATTAATAAAATATTTATTTAAAATTTTAAGGTCCAATAATTTAATTTACTTAAATATAAAGTTTGTAAGAAAAAGGTTGCGAAGGGGTCTGGTTCTGAAAGTAGAAGGCTTTTTAAATGCAAGATTGCTGTATGCTGGAGATGTTGTCTATAGAGACCGACCGAAAGTGATTTTCTGATTTCGGCCGAAACCGAAAAAATGCTGAAAGTTTAAAAATGACTTTCGGCCGAAACCGAAGAAAAGCCGAAAGTTAAAAATGAATTTCGGCCGAAACCGAAGCCGAAACCAAAAATGAAATATTAAGATATAAATATTTACATTCTTTTTTATAAAAAATGAGATAGTCGTGAATATTAATAAATAAACATCTAATATAGTGGTCTCAAACTCGCAGCCCACGAGCCATTTGTGACCCGCAAGACGATATTTTACGACAGAAAAGTTTAGTGTAAATGCGCCGGACCGTTTCCCCAATTCTGATATCTATAACGTGACTCTCCGTGACGGTTTCAGTCGAATCTCACCGACTAGTCTAATTCTGATTTTTAAAAAAAAATGTTTCTATATATTTTTGTATGCAACTGTGAGTAGGTGGATGAAAATGAATCCTAGTTGAGAATCACTCTCATTCAGACACTACCTCCTGCTGCCTCCCTGATGATTTGAGTTTGAGACCCTTGATCTATTGAATACTTTAGATTTTACCATTTTAATATAAAAGCAATTTAAATTGCTTTACAATTTTTTAAAATTAGTATGGTAGGAGAAAATTTTGCAAAAATGGGGTGGGAGGGGGGGGGGGCAAAATTAATGCAAAATATTATTTTTTTAAACCGGTTCTCTAAAAATTGTTGTTCTGAAATGGCTCTAAAAGATCGCTTAGTTTGTTCTGAAAGGTCGCATTATTTGTTTTTAAAGATGGTTTAGTTTGTTGTTAAAGATCGTTAGTTGCTTGTTATTGATCAGTTAGTTTGTGCTTAAAGATCGCTTAGTTTGTTCCTAAAGAGCATTTAGTTTTCCGTTAAAGATCGCTTAGTTTATTCTTATAAATCATTTATTGTTTTGTTCTTAAAGATAATTTAGTTCGGTCTTAAAAATCGTTTAGTTTGTTCTTTGAGATCGTTTAGTTTGTTACTAAAGATTGCTTAAATTGTTCTTAAAGATCGCTTAGTTCGTTTTAAAGATCGTTTAGTTTGCTCTTAAAGATCGCTTAGTTTGTTGTTAAATATCGTTTAGTTTGATCTCAAAGATCGCTTAATTTGTTCTTAAATGTCGCTTAGTTTGTTGTTAAATATCGTTTTCGCTGATTATTAGATGACCGAAAACCTGAGTAACTTTCGGCCGGATGGCCGAAAGTCTAAGTCAATTTCGGCCGAAACCGAAGAAAAACCGAAAGTTAACTTTTCTCTTTCGGCCGAAACCAAATTTAAGCCGAAAGTTAACTTTTCAGTTTCGGCCGAAAACGAAACTTGGCCGAAAGTGATAAAATGGCCACTTTCGGCGCCGAAGCC